TACAGATGTTTTACGGATTTGCCTTTGGGCGACTATGATACCCCTAGTTGAGTACATAATTGATGTGATTTACAGATTTGCCTTCGGGCTAGCTATACTACCATTTTTAAGCACTGGTTTATATGTACGTGTTTTACGAACGTTTTTTCATGGCATGCTAGAGTTTTCAGAAAATCTACTATGTGGTACTATATATGTGTTTTCAAAATAAGGGGTTAGTATGTTCAGAAAGAAAATGGTTTTCTTATTATTAGTATTATTATTATTATAAACTTTGGTCCACTCACCCTTTGTTTTGCGCCCCTTTTAGGAGTTAAAATCGAGGCATACTATCCCGGCGTCAGGGCACTTCCGTATATGTATCTTCGAGTCTTTTCAGAGTAGAACCCATTCCTTTGTTTGTACCATTTGATATTAATTCTTTCACATTATTCTTGATTAGTTGTATGCTTTGAACACGTTTTCGCATTGGCATAATTCTTTCTAATTGCAAATTTTATTTGTATGCATGTTTAAAATGGCTTCTTCACTCTCGGGTGTCGTCCAGCACGTGTCTATCATGATATTTGGAGATATCGGGATCGGGGCATGTCATTGTCAAGCAGATTCTTTGGTTGAATGAGATGAGGTATGAACTACAGGAGATCTATGGCTTGGTAATTCAGTAGAAGGTGACGTGCACAAAGAATGTGTAATTTGTTTGTCTGAACCACATGACACAACTATTCTTCCATGCAGACACATAGTAATCATACTTTGCTCTTTTTCTTCTGAAAGTTTGTCAAAGTTGCTAGTGGAGAAAGCTAAGCTTAACCTTGAGTAAGTTTCTGATTGGTGAGAAAATAACGATAACTAAACGTGGATGTGTTCTGCCACTAGCATTCTGTAATTTAATGGCATCCCACCATGCCCAGCCCTGAGGAATGATTGGTTGTGTTCTACAATGAAGGTTGACAGTGATTTTTAGAGTTGAAATCTTGAAAACGATAAATAATTTTGGGATATGCACGTTAAAAGTGATTTCGGGTATATTTAGATATTTTTCTAAAACCTTATAAGGTTAAAATTGTCATTGTAGATTAGATATATAAATCATTTGATATTGTGGGATGTATTCAACATTAAGTGGAGTGCCAATAAAATAAAATAAATATAAAAAAAAGCCTATTCTAAACAGTAATAAAAAAACTGCAACTAGGGCAAATAATTAAGATTCATGCATTGTGCCTATATATAATATAACAACATTCTTGTTTCGTCCATAAGTAACACACAGCACAAAGGATTGGCAGTTGGCCATTTTGGATAAAGAGGAATATTTGCCCACACCGACCTCAACAACTCCAGTTCCACCATCTTTCTCACGCGTCCGCAGACTCACTTGCAACTAGGCCTGGCAAACGGGTCGTGTCTATCGTGTTCGTGTCGTTTTCGTGTAACACATGTTATCTTAACGGGTCGTGTCGTGTCACACCCGTTATCTTAACGGGTCCTTAACAGATCGTGTCACTTTACCCAACGGGTAAAGTGACCCGACCCGTTATGACCCATTATGACCCGTTAAGAAAAAAATATTTTTTTTTTAAATTTGCACATACCACACATTGCCACATAAATATTACTTCAAAACATTAAAACATTTCTCGTTCAAGTACTATATCTACACTCGAAAATAAAAGCCTAATAAAAAAAATAATACATACACTACTAATATATTACAAATATTAAATGTGCAAGGATAAAGAGTTTTTGTTTTTAAGATTGTAAGTCTTTCTCAAAAGTTTACACCTCCATTTACAAAATCTTCAATTTACATCGATCATCATGAAATTGTATTCAATTTACACCTACATCTATATAATTATTATAGTTTTTACTTTTTAGGGATATAAAATTATTAAATTAATGTATATAATTATTAATATTATAGTTGATTCATACTTTTGTTAAGTATATAAATTATAACATAAGATTTTGTGATATCCACATCCACTAGTGTAAATATTTTAAATTGAAGATCAAATTCATTCTTTGTATTCATATAGGGTCAAGGAGTGTAGCTGTAAAAATTCATCAAAATCAGAGTTAAAATAACCGTTAAATCTTGATTTTTCATTTATAACCGTCGAAAAGCTTTGTCCTGTTACTTGATCTCTGAATGTTTTTTTTTTTTGTGATTTTTTGCTGATGTGATCTCCAAGCATATACAAACAATTTTGACGGTTTGGATCGTTGAAATTAGTTTTGGAGAATTCGTAAAACGATAGATTGACTAACACTTAGAGTTTATTTATACTTTTATTAAGTATAACATAAGATTTTGTGGTATCCACTTGTGTAAATATTTTAAATTGAAGATCGAATTCATTCATTGTATTCATATAGGGTCAAGGAGTGTAATTATAAAAAATCATCAAAATCGGAGTTAAAATAACCGTTAAATCGTGATTTTTCGTTTATAACCGTTGAAAAGCTTTGTCCCGTTACTTGATCTCTGAATGTTTTTTTTTTTTTTGTCATTTTTTGCTGATGTGATCTCCAAGCATATACAAACAATTTTGACGGTTTGGATCGTTGAAATTAGTTTTGGAGAATTCGTAAAACGATAGATTGACTAACACTTAGAGTTTATTTATACTTTCATTAAGTATAACATAAGATTTTGTGGTATCCACTTGTGTAAATATTTTAAATTGAAGATCGAATTCATTCATTGTATTCATATAGGGTCAAGGAGTGTAGTTATAAAAAATCATCAAAATCAGAGTTAAAATAACCGTTAAATCGTGATTTTTCGTTTATAACCGTTGAAAAGTTTTGTCCCGTTACTTGATCTCTGAATGTTTTTTTTTTGTGATTTTTTGCTGATGTGATCTCCAAGCATATACAAACAATTTTGACGGTTTGGATCATTGAAATTAGTTTTGGAGAATTCGTAAAACGATAGATTGACCAACACTTAGAGTTTATTTATATTTTTATTAAGTATAACATAAGATTTTGTGGTATCCACTTGTGTAAATATTTTAAATTGAAGATCGAATTCATTCATTGTATTCATATAGGGTCAAGGAGTGTAGTTATAAAAAATCATCAAAATCGGAGTTACAATAACCGTTAAATCATGATTTTTCGTTTATAACCGTTGAAAAGCTTTGTCCCGTTACTTGATCTCTGAATGTTTTTTTTTTTGTGATTTTTTGCTGATGTGATCTCCAAGCATATACAAACAATTTTGACGGTTTGGATCGTTGAAATTAGTTTTGGAGAATTCGTAAAACGATAGATTGACTAACACTTAGAGTTTATTTATACTTTTATTAAGTATAACATAAGATTTTGTGGTATCCACTTGTGTAAATATTTTAAATTGAAGATAGAATTCATTCTTTGTATTCATATAGGGTCAAGGAGTGTAGTTATAAAAAATCATCAAAATCGGAGTTAAAATAACCGTTAAATCGTGATTTTTCGTTTATAACCGTTGAAAAGTTTTGTCCCGTTACTTGATCTCTGAATGTTTTTTTTTGTGATTTTTTGTTGATGTGATCTCCAAGCATATACAAACAATTTTGACAGTTTGGATCGTTGAAATTAGTTTTGGAGAATTCGTAAAACGATAGATTGACTAACACTTAGAGTTTATTTATACTTTTATTAAGTATAACATAAGATTTTGTGGTATCCACTTGTGTAAATATTTTAAATTGAAGATCGAATTCATTCATTGTATTCATATAGGGTCAAGGAGTGTAGTTATAAAAAATCATCAAAATCGGAGTTAAAATAACCGTTAAATCGTGATTTTTCGTTTATAACCGTTGAAAGCTTTGTCCCGTTACTTGATCTCTGAATGTTTTTTTTTTGTGATTTTTTGCTGATGTGATCTCCAAGCATATACAAACAATTTTGACGGTTTGGATCGTTGAAATTAGTTTTGGAGAATTCGTATGCCATCAATCAAGTTCCGTGTGTGTGTGTGTATATATATATATTTTTATTAAGTAGATTTAAATCTATTTATTTTGTACGTATAAATTATAATTGACTGGTACACGGAATAGTACATACATCATGTGTCACGTGTGTCATTATAAAAATAGTGAGATATGTCATGACAGTCATGTGTGTGATAAAAAGTTAATAACTTAAAAAAAAAAAAAAAAATTTCTCACCACTTCTATTAATTTTCATTTTTCCCTCTCTTTTTTGTTTCCTTTTCAACTTTTTCTTATCATTTTCTCTTTTCCCTCCAACATCTTTCCCTAATTCCCTCATTTTTTTTGTTTCATTTTCAACTTTTCTTAACATTTTCATTTTCCCTTCATTTTTTTTTTCAAAAAGGGCGGCAAGTTGGCAACGGCAAGAAATTGATTATTGAAATTTGAATGGAAAGAAATCACATCAAATTTCAATGGATGCAAAATCATGCAATGCATCATGCATATTAAATTATTAATTAATAATTATTATAGTTTTTATAAAATTTAATATATATATATATAATTATTATAGATAGACTTAATATTTTGGGGGTATAATTATTATAGTATATATAATTATTATAATTATTATAAATTTTATAGTTAATTTAATATATATATATATATATATTTATTATAATTTTTAGGGGTATAAAATTGTAAAATTAATGTATATAATTATTATAGTATTTTTTTAGGATTATAAAATTATAAAAATAATATTCTGCTTATCGTGTATCGTGTTACCCACGTATATACCCGAACCAACCCGTTATCTTAACAGGTGCTTATCGGGTTACCCGATAACGACCCGATTCGTTATCGTGTCGACCCAAATACCTGTTAATTTCGTGTCGTGTCGTGTCGGGTTATCGGATCGTGTCAGAAATTGCCAAGCCTACTTGCAACATTCTCTTACACCTTCCCACTCCATTCCCACTCGCACCGTACGGCGTACAGACAAGTTGAATATAAATTAAGCTCGAGATTGGAACTTTTCTTTTTTTTATTTCTTAATTGTATTCTTTTGGTTAATTATCACATTACATTGTATAATGCTTTTTTTTTTTTTCCCAACATAATGATATATATTTACACTAATGTATGAGAGAATAAATTTGATATCGAATTCATTATTTTCATAACTCAAAACCCGAATACCTTTCACTTATAAGTGAATAAGAATGTCACTAAATCGTAGTAATATAAGTGGAAATTGCATTGCATAATATTAGGATCTTTTTTTTTTTAATAAACAATATTATCTATACTAAGGGTAACGAGGATGGGGTGGGCTTAACCTCACAATGAGTTAGTAATAATGTGGTTCAAATTCACCTTTGACAAAAATTAAACCTAATGCCATTAAACCGTAGTACTAAGTGGTTATTTAGATCCAATATTAAACATTAGAAAAGTAGCAAACATTGAGATGATTTAAGAGCTCTTAGGCACCATGTAAGTCAGTTTTTTTGGGACAAGTGATCTACTCATGACAGCTCTTAACGTATAACATTTTAAAGTTGCATAATTCACACCTAAAGATCTGAACCAGACATTTGGTAGCAATCTTGCTTAATGTTTTCGAAAATCATCCCTATAAGAAATAAGATTCTAAAGGCTATCTGGTTTGCCCTTGTAGAAGATAGAGTGGTGAAGTAGAAACCGAAGTAAAACTAGCATCCATATCTCTATTAGAACACAAGCTCATCTATTTAAACGAAGACGATGAAGTAAAAGACTTGAGTATGTCACCAAACGCAGCCTCGTGATCGTGATCACCACCGTTCCTCCTACGTGGGCCCCTCAATTCCTTCGGAATCTCAACTTCCCCATCCAAATACCTAACCACCATCCTCATATTAGGCCGATCCGACGGTCCATGATTCGAACACATCAGCCCTAATTTCAACACCATCACCACCTCCTCCTCACAAAATTCCCCATGCAGCCTTTCATCCACCACCTCAAGAAGCTTTCCCTCTCCGTACATCTCCCAAACCCAATCCACCAAAACCAGCTCCTCCGCCGTGGCTTTCGGCTCAATCGGCCTCCTTCCGCAAGCCACCTCCAACAAAAGCGCGCCAAATGCGTACACATCCGAGCAGGTGCTTGCCTTCCCTGTCCGGGGCATCTCCGGCGCTAAATAACCCAAAGTCCCCACAACTGTAGTCGTAGTGCTTGAAACCAAGTCGTGCTCGTGTAGCCTCGCGAGCCCAAAATCTCCTAACCTTCCATTTAGCTCTCTATCCAGCAGCACGTTGCTCGCTTTCACATCTCTGTGAATCACAACTTGCTCGTATCCTTCGTGTAAGTAATGCAGCGCAGAAGCAACCCCTTTGATGATCTTAAACCTCTCTTCCCAGCTCAGCACAGTTTTGGGTTCATCGAAAAGAGCATTGTCGAGGCTACCATTTTCCATGAAATCGTAAACAAGAAGAAGGTCACCTCTCCGCCGGCACCAACCCAGCAACTGAACCAGGTTTCTGTGGCGGAGCCGCCCAATGCTGGCGATTTCTGACACGAATTCCCGCAGGCCCTGCTTCGAATCGTTCGAGATTCGCTTAACTGCGACTTGTGTTTTCGTGTTTGGGAGCGTACCTTTGAACACTTGCCCAAACCCGCCTTGCCCGAGCAGCTCTTTGTCACGGAACCCTTTCGTGGCTTGCTTCAATTCTTGGTAGGAGTATCTGTGTGGGCCCAGCTGCAGCTCCCATGACTCTACCGGATCGGAATTCTTGAATTTTTTCGTGTAAATGTAAACTGAAACAGAAATTGCAGACAGAGCAACAGCAATGGTGGAAACTAAGACTCCGATCATTAAAGATGTGTGATTTTTCTTGGGTTTCGGAAGAGAAGGAAGAGAATCCATGTTAAGAACTCGGGTTTCTCCATCGATCTTGAAGCTCCAACCTGATATGTAATGGGAGCTAGCAAGCAGACCGGTCGAAGCCGAAAACCCAACGTACATAAATTCCTGAAGAATCGGAGAGAGATCAACTTGAAAAGAAAGAAGTGGAATTTTGGGTTTTGAAGAAGAGGGTGAAATTGTAACGTTCATGAGATTTCGACTCGAATCGTAGTCGATCCATGCTTGAATTGGTTTCCCAGATTTGAGGTTAAGACTCTGTTTCGAAACAGAGTCTTTGTAGTAAGCCGCAGCAGCTGAGGCATTTGATTTCAAGCTGTTGATGTCGATTCCGACATGGTTATCGTTGATATCACCAAACTCGAAATCTTGAACCGTGTCGAACTCGACTGCGAAGATGTGAGTCGAGAATTTACCGACGTCAGTACCATTGAGAAGACCGAGGTATTGGCTGGGAAGAGAGTTGAGATCCTTGGAGGGGGCGATTGTGAAGGCCATGCCATGGCCACCCAGCTTCGGATACTCGGGGACGATGGTGAAGACGAATGAGGTCGAAAAGGAGAAGGCTTTGCCGACGGTTGAGTTCTTGAACTGAATTGGTGACGTGTAGAAAGCATGACCCATTAGCCTGCTGGTGTGGTTGGTTAATTTTAACATGCCGGTTTTTTCGATATCCGCAACGCCGGATAGGGTTAGATTGGAACCCGCGTCTTTGAAGCCGGAATAGAAGATCTCAGTGACCTGGGGCTGGGATGAAGCTAGGGTTGAGAGGAGAAGAAGAACAGCAGAGACCAGTTTCAGAAGTTTTTCCATTTTGTCAACGAGGGTTTTGGCGGCTTGGTGGGATTGGATTGGATTAGACTATAAGCGTGGGATTGATAGAACGTTTTAGGCGAAAAAAATGAGGGTTTGACGGTTTGTGGTGAGATTGGACTTGAACTACAAGGAAAGAGTGGGGGTTTCTAAGAGAAGTAAAGGAACATTGGACTCGGTGATTACTTGACAGAATAATATTAAAAAGATTAAATTTGTAAATTAAATGTTGGAAATTAAAGAACATGAAAATTAATAATTGATTTATTACTTAAACGTTGATAAACGTGTTCATTTCTATTAGTGACACATCATTTAATTTACACATTTAATCTCTAAATTTAATCTGTCTAGTATCAGTAAACAGCCTAATGAAGACAGGCTCTCAAAAAATGGAGAATAAAGAGGCTCAGCCTTCTTTTTATGTGGTAAAGCGATCGAATTGGACATGTTTGTAACGTTTGTATTTGGTTATGGTCCTTGTTCTCTTATTACAAAAACAAAAAGGCAGAAACTTGGGTGATTGGTTTTGGTTTTTTTACATGAAATTTGGTAGACAGTCAACGTTGAGGTAGGAATTTATACACAAAGGTGACATTACTTTTTCATCGACACTTTAATTAGGGTAATGTTATGGAAATCAAAATTTTAAATTAAATGATGTGTCACCAATAAGAAATAAACATGTTAATTAACACTTAGTTAATAATTCAATCATCAACAACCACATCATTTGGTTTGTAAACTTGGTTTAAAAAATTTGATCTCCTAGCATATCATATGTTTAAGGGTAAAGAATTTTAAGAAACCGGCATGTCCTAGAAATTCAGAGATCCAAACATTGCACTGTTGTATTAATTTGACACTAGCATATGAGCACACACACAAAGTGTGTGAGAAAATTTTTATTTTTGTTTTCAAATAGAAGGAGAGAATAAGAGAGTGATAGAGAATGTGAGAGTGGGAAGTTTTTTTTTTTGAATTAGAGATATGTTAGAATTACATATAGGTGAGACTTTAAAAAAAAACAGCAAAATTTGGTTGTGTGAAATTACATTTCTACCTTATATTTCTTATTTATGTTCTGTTTTAATCGGAAAGTTAAATTAGTAATTTTATAGAATTTTAGTTCACAATGAGTGTTTTATTAATTAATAGAAATTAGGAGGTCAAAGAATTTTAAGAAAAATTGTTAAGTAGCAAGTTGGAAGGAATTTTAATCTTAATCTATTTCTTCGTTACAATAGCTCTGTCCTACCACCACTTTGACAGCGCAAACGGTGGCACCACCACTCTTCTCTCGAGCTCTCTGGCCCACTTCCTCCTCCTCCCATTCCTGTCTCTCACAAACCACATCATAGCCTCCTCCTCACCTCCATCCGTCATCATAATCATGACAGCGATTGAAATTGAGTTGAGACTCACATCAACAAATCGAACCAGAGAGGAGGGGGGGGGGGAGAGAGAGAGAGAGAGAGAGAGAGTGGCCCAATTTTACTTGCAATTGAAGTTGGCCGGTTTCTCCTTTTCCCAAATTTTAAATTTTTTCCAATCGTTCGATTGGACAAGAATCGATCCAAACCGTTGAATTTTCGTAGCATACATTGATCTGTATCACTGAAGACTTTTCGATATAACTTGAATTGGGAACAAAACTTAGGATTACACAAACGATAATGTGCTTAATAATTTAATCACAAAGCCAGTTGATTATATTTCATTCTTTAGGCACCGAACCAAATCAAGAAACTCCATATGAAGGCAATAAACAAATCATGCGCTGCGACATGATGAAGAACGCATGATGAAGAATTAAAATAGATTTAGCTGCACTTCATGTCATGTGCACGGCATAATGACGAACTTGTATAGAATTTTAACTCATATCCATTTCAAAAATAAGAGTTAACTTTAACTTTTTTAGGTAAATTTTGGTTCTTTTATTCATAATGTGCAAAGTCTAATGGTCTTTAAAAAAATGCGAGTTAGGCCGGTTTGCAAACATGTTTGTTCATTTGCACCAAAATTCGAATCATTTTGTTCAGATATTAGGTAGTAATATAATATATATGTTGTCAAAAAATTAAAAGCCACAATTATGCTATGCTACCTTTATCAAAAGGCACATGTATTGGAAGAATTTCAAATGAGATTAAAATAACATCAACTTGGTCTCTGATCAAATTATCGAATATGATGCAGCCACACATACGAAGACGAATGCTGAAGCTGCATTTTTTGTAGCTTATGTTTTGTGGGCTCAGGGTCACAGCTCATATGCTTGTATTGAGACCCAAGTTTATACGGGACAGAATTAGAATTAACTGTTATAGGGTAAATGGGACAGAATTAGAATTAATCATGTGCTTATCTAGCAAAATGATCGCATCATTTGGATAAATCTGTCTACAACGAGATCACGAGATGAGTGTTGTAGAGACAAAATAATATATCTCCGGTGAGACAAAAAATATATATATATATGCTTTCACTTTTGTTTTGTTTTTCTTTATTGGCTGTAATGCTAAGGTTGAATACAAGTTTATACCACACGCAACTCATGCCTTATTTTAGATTCCATTTTTGACCGGACATGTGATGAAATTATGGGTTGAAGTTTAGTAGGTTAGGACAAAGAGTGGTAATATGTTGTGTTTGGATTTATCCGGTTATATATGTGTCATGTGTTTGGTTCATAAATAAAAATATATAAGGCTTGTCACCGGGCCTATTTGTTTTTATTTAGTCAAAAATTCAAACGTACAATCCTGACCCACCAACTTTTAAATCTAAATCAGGGCTTGGACGACTATCTCATTTCACTCTAATATGTCCAAGGCCTCAGACAGAAATCCCTCTGAAGCGCTTCTGCCACGCAGACGACTAGACCCGAGAATATTTCACCTCCTCAAATGCCTATGCATGAGTCATATGACACGCTGATGTCACCACTGTGATTGTGCAAACCACCACAAGACACAATGGATGGGGGGACACCAACCAGGAATTACAGTCACTATCAGCATCAAATGATCAATCTAACTCTGCTCCAGCTAAACATTATGATCAAGGTTACTCTTTCTTCATTGCCTATAAATAGAGCTAGAGGCCTTCAAGCTCGACACCCTTGTCAAATTCAAGCTCAACGATTAACCGAAACCTTGGATGATTCTTCAATCAACCTAATTGCTCTTCAAGAAAACTCTCTTAGCTTTTCAACTATAATCTCAAAGCCTTCCTTCCAAGAAATCACTACCTACAATCTAAAACTCTTCCAGCTCTACCACCCCATGGTATGATTCGGTTGACATGCAATTCCAACTACCCTAGTTTCCTCTTAGAGGCATATGTTTTGTGCTAAGTCCAATTTGACACCAGTGATCTCGATGGACTCCTCTAGCATTATCTTCTCCTTCATGGCCTAAATTTTGCTACGGTTTTCTACTTTTGTATACATTACCAGTCTATTTACATTTCAAGTTATGTTGCACAACCCATCGGCCAATATGTTACTTTTGTGAACGTTTGTAATTTTGGCTCCATCATGAGATGATTACATTTTGTTTCTCGCTTTAGATTCTATTTTGCTTTTGTTGACTTTTTAGGCAAGCATACACGAAATTACACTGAATTTTAAGTTCTCGTTTGCTTGGGGCATAGAAAGAAAAACGAACCAACGCCTCACTTGGTGTACAATCATTTAGTTCAAAGGTCATATTTACACGCAACTTTCACACACACTCGAGTACAAGTACTGTCTGTTGGCAGCCTCCAACGATAGCATGCCTATTCCGTATTTCTCATGAGTCATCCCCTAACGTCGAGACCAGAAGCAACATTTGGAGAAATACGTGTTGAATCTAGTCCAAACTGTCCATGTTTGGACACCAACATTATGTTTTGGTGAAATCATAGAATGATCAAACACGTAAAATAATAATAAATAAAAGATTAGGTCCAAATAATAATAAATAGAATGATCAGACTAACAGGCAACCACTCAAATAAAAGATAAGGTCCAAATAATAATAAATAGAATGATCAGACTAACAGGCAACCACTCAAATAAAAGATTAGATCCAAATTCCAGGAGGAGTCATCTAGTTGAACCTTGGCTGCTTTGACCATGTGAACAATGGGCTTAAATTACAATCTACAAATTCCTGTCTATCGTTTTTCATATTTGCTGTTTTGGCACACGGTATATATTGTCGTAGAATTTGATTCATTTTCATTAGATTGATACTTAGAAAAACTAGTACAATGAATTGGGCTGGTATATATTTACCTGTCTTTACTCAAGAGAATCGCAGCACATGTACATTTCAACGACACAATGAAGGCCACCACATTCTAATGCATATATATTCTCAAATCCCTATAAGTACACTTCTAAAATTGGTACAGGCAACTTCCGTCGTCGCTCCTCGCCGTGGGATCGTAGTTCGCAGCAGATGGATCAGTGCAGCCTTCAGGGACAGGCAGGTCAACCTGTTGTGCTGCTTTGCCTGCATCCAAACAATTATCAAAACCTTTAATAAATTTGCCTTCTCAAATTGTTGTTTCCTTTTACAATCCTAAAGCCAGATGCAACTCTATCATCAAGGCCTTTAGGAGCAAGGATCTAACCGTAGAAACTTCCACTCTTTATGGCATCGTCATTGGCATCCCCAAGAGCTGCCTCTTTCAAGTACTTGTCGGACAATTGGACTCTCTTCACATTGTCCTGCTCTTGCACCAGCAGGTTTCCATACTCAAGCAGCTTCTCAAGAGTCATCTTCGGTTGATCAAAAGTCGGGGGAGCCTCTTTCGAGTTCACTAGCCTCTTCCCGATGCCTTCTACCCCAACACTTGCAATCCATTTCCTCACTTCATCATCATAAACTCTGGCCCTGATGGCACCAAAGAAATCTGCACACAAGCACAATTTGACTTTTATAATCCCTTATTTTTCTTTCATTAGCTATGTAATGTATCATGATGTCCCAAATTCATGTTAAGGCACAAAACTTACCAATGGACTGACCAGGGAAGGTGTCAACGAGCTTGACAATGTCACCTCTAGGAACATTGTCAGCGCGAAAAATTCCCATGCACACACCAATGCAGTCTTCACGAGTAGGGGCCCAGTAGAACTTCTCCATTCGCCCATCGCGGATGAGAGGCGCGTACAATGTGGAGAAGTCATTACCGGTGACTATGATGGGAACGCGAGGATTCTCCTGCTTGTTATACATACCAGGGAGTTGGACATTGGTTGGGTTGTCAGCAATGTTCATAAGGGTAGCATTCACCATTTGATTGTTGACAGTGTATTGAGTAGTTCCACCCAGTCTTCCAGCTCCAGCATCTAAATCATTGATGAAGAGGCAGCACATTTTGCCCTTGCTGATGATGTCTGCTGCCTCGCGGTACCTTTGCCTGATCAGTTTTGCTGGCTCCCCGGCATTTCCACTTTCCAATTCTCCAGCACTCATCATAATAGGGCTGATCATTCATTTTAATTACAAGATGTTTTAGTAGTGAGCATTTAAATTCAAGAGAAATTATGTTACACACTATTTTCTCCTTTTGCGCAGATTGTTTATTTTTATCTTTCGATTCTCCTTTAAGTTATTCAATCGAAAAACCATAAACTAAACACAGGTATGCAGAAGGAGAAAACAGGTATGCAGAAACCACTTTCTTTTTTATTAGCCTTCTAAAACCCCAATTTTAAAAGCAAGAAGAAATAAAATATGAACTCACTTGATTCCCATCTTGGCAAAGACAAGCTCACATTGGAATGACTTTCCTTGACCTTTGCCTCCCCAGACACCCAAAATAAGAGGAACCTGTACCAATATTTTTCATATATCCCAATCAATTAGCTAATATCTATAAACTACCCACCAAAATTGGAACTAAAATTAATCAAAAGTTTGACAAACCTTAATGTTGGGCAGGTTCAGAAAGTTCTTAGTAATGTGAACAACAAGTTTGTCCATGAAAGCTGGAGCAATGTAGAAGCCGTCCATCATGTTGTCCAATCTGAAACAAAATTGAAATTTGAGTTACGCTTACGATCTGATTTTTGGGTTTGCATTCTGAATAAAATTGTTTAAATGCAACGTTATAATAATATTTAGTCATAACGTTATAACTTTGCATTTCAATAAAGCGTGGCCTTGTTACGTAAAACATGGAATCTACTTACTGGCGAAGACCAGTACTGATGTAATCGTAGGAGCTCATGACGGCGTAGTGTGTTCCACTGCCCATAGGAGCTTGGAAAAGCGTGTCCGCCATGCCCTTTCCTCTGGTGATGTCCTGCTGGTCATCTGAAGTGTCAAAGGCAAGCCCTCCCCACCTGTCTTTGGAGGTCTGCTTCGACTCATCGTATTCTGCAGCAACCATGAAATTCCCAGGTGAATGTATCTTTGGCTGGCTGATGATCTTGGAGCTCACCTTCTTCAAGCTGTTACTGCCTAAGAAAGCAGAGCCATTGAAGTTCAACTGCACCACCAAGGACACTTTTTTTCTCAGCATCCAAACAGAATTTAAGTGAAATTACAGAGTTCCATGTTTTTAGAAAAAGTCAAGCAAACCCAGAAAAGGAAAGGTTACTATTACAGTCTAAAACCATTAATTCAAACACCATAACTATCAAAGACATTGCACAGCTACTTACATTCATCTTTTTCTTTAACTGCAAATCACAATTTGATATGTATACAATAACATTGCTCTAAAATTTGGAAAAATATAAAAGTTTATGCACGCATGTCAAATTTATATTTATATGTAAGAGAATTGGTTGCAAGGAGCAAAGTATTTTCGTAATCTGAAATACTGTTTTCAGTGATATTCATAAAGGAATTGACTTTGTTGTACAGAGATGAGACCAGAAAATTAAAAGAAAGATTTTTTCTACCAAATGAAAACAATAAGAAAGAAAAGTTGGGTTTGTTAGAAAACGGGTTGGAAATTCATAGTTACCGGTGCTCTGTTGACGGCGATGATGGTTGCTGCTGAGATTGAAGCAGCCATTGATTTGCAGAGGTGAAAAAACTCAAAGAAAAGAGCTGATCAAATGGAGAATTTGAAGGAAGAAGACGAAGTCTTTAAACTGAAACTGTTTGGGAAATTTGTATCTTGGGAAAGAGGGAAGGCAGGGGAGAAGAATTTATAGGAGTGATGGAGAGGTTTTGGATTGCGCAGAGAGAGAGAGAGAGAGAGAGAGAGAGAGAGAGGATGGGAACTGGTTTACGAATCCCCAACGGCCACACAAATTGGGATTGGCGGTATTACGTGGCTCGTGGTATGCTGTTGAGGTGGACGGTGGTTTTGGAATTGTGGGTGGTTATGGGCTACATGGGTTGGCTACAAAAAATAGAAACAAAATGGAGGCTTCTGGGCTTATTTAAATGAAGACAAAATGGAGGATTCTGGGGAACTCGGTTGGTTTGAGGCTAGGGTTTAAGCTTCTTTGATCTCGACAAAATTTAGTTACTACTTGCATAAGCATGATTGATGTTTCTCTTGCTCACATTTTTTCAAAGCTACACATAACTTCAGGTGCATGGCTAAATACTCTTAACTACTTTAATTAGTTAGAATGCCTCAACTGCTATTTTACTCAAATTTTATGATAATTGATAGTAGGCAAGAATTCTTAGACCATTTTCAATCAGAAAATTAAATTCAAATTTTTTTCGGAAAAAAAAAAAAAAGAAAAAGAAAAAGACATCAGAAGGTAAGACCTATTAACTTTTTTGCCCAAATGAGTATTTTTTTTTCTTTTTTTTAATAGGGTATGTGTCACAATTCACATGACTTATCACTACATTTATTAAGTTTATCTGCCCAAATTTTACATCTTGTGTGTGTTTTTACTAAATCTACATTTAGATGCCATTTTCCATTAAACATGGCCTTGCATAATTTTTTTATTTTTATTTTTGAATGTTTGAATTGTGATTGCATATGTGCAAGATAACTTTAGAGCCCATAACTTTCTTTACTTTGTACACCAATCACCAGCCACAAAAATGAAAAAAATCTGTAGCCACAAACACCAACACAGGCCATTGTGGAAACTATGTATACAAATCGAGAAACTTCTAATGCGAAAGGCAAGTTAATCTGTAGAAGCTTATCATGGTTTATACGGGATCGCCAATCTTTTGGTCACATTTTGTTGGATTGGACTTGTCACAATCAAGCTCAAGACATCTCATTTTCATCATCCTAACTTTAATTGGGGATAACATTGCTGCACACTTCTTGAAGTGAAATGTATGGGCTCGGCGTTCATGGAGTGAAACTATTCTGGCCCTTCTTAAGTAGTGTATAAATAAAGATATTTCAAGGTGGATTTATCACAAATAGTTACTGAAATTGATCAACACTATTAAGATGGTCCATGATATTAAAAATCGATCAATGTAGTCCCTAAAACGAGATGTTTCAAATCAGTATGGCTATTCCGTCACAATTCTGTCTAAAATTCTTTTATATACTGACATGGCACATAATAGGCCCCATAAGAGTTATGGGTTTTTATCACAAATAGTCCTTGAATTGACCCACATCATCAAGATGATCCATGAAATTGAAAATCGACCAATGTAGTTCTTGAAAATAGGTGTCACAAATCAATATGGTTCTTCTACCACAATTTTGTCAAATTTTGGTTATATGCTGATGTAGGTTAATAATTTAATAATTAATTAAAAAGTTGTCCAAAATACCTTTTTGCACAATGGGATTATCTCAAGGCAGAGCTCGCCGTTCTCCGCATCATTGAGATCACCGGAGGAGCTCCCAACAAGCTTTCCAAGATTGAGTTGTAAGGATGTCAATCGCCTAAATGTTAATGGTGATGTCACAAAAGTCGTTGCCAATCCAAGACGTCACCAAAGGTGGCCTTGGTCTTGGTCAAATTCTGTGAAAGGTGTCGAAGTGTGTAAAGATGAGTGGTCTTGAGGATTTTTTTTTTTTTTATTTCCAGAGAAGAGATAGCTAAGGCTACCATAGATGGAGGTAGAAGAGTGTCGGTTGGAATCGGAGGTTATTGTGAGACAGGGTTTTTGAGTTGACAACTTTTTTGACCTATTTCTAATTTATTTTTAATTTAATTAAACGTGTAGGACCCATTTATGTGTGACATTTGTACATAACAAAACTTTTGACAGAATTGTAACGGAATGACTATATTGATTTGAGACACCTATTTTTAGGACTACTGTTATCAATTTAAATTTCAGGGACCATCTTGCTGGTGTGGGTCAACGTCACATCCCGGCCCGGGCCCCGACCACATCCTGGACTCGACTTCACTGTAGCACAATATTGTTCGTTTTGGGCCACGACCACGCCCTCATGGTTTTGTTTCTGGGAATTCACACGAGAACTTCCCAGTGGGTCACCCATCTTGAGATTGCTCTAACCCAAACTCGCTTAACTTCAGAGTTTCGATGGACTCTAAAGCCAGTAAGCTCTCAAAAGGCCTCGTGCTAGGTAGAGATAGGAATATATACATATAAGGCTTACATGATCCACCCCCCTTTAGGGGCCCGACATCCTCGTCGGCACACTTTCGACTAGGGATTGGCTCTAATAACAAATTGTCACATCCCGGCCTGGGCCTCCACCACATTCTGGGCTCAACTCTACCATAGCACAATATTGTCTGCTTTGAGCCCCGACCACGCCTTCATAGTTTTGTTTCTGGGAACTCACACGAGAACTTCCCAGTGGGTCACCCATCCTGGGATTCTCTAGCCCAAACTCACTTAACTTCGGAGCTCTGATGAACTCCAAAGCCAGTGAGCTCCCAAAATGTCACATCCCGACTTAGGGTCCACCATATCCTAGGCCCGCTCCACCACCATAGCACGATATTGTCCGCTTTGGGCCCTGACCACGCCCTCACGGTTTTGTTTCTGGGAACTCACACGAGCTAAACTTCCTAATGGGTCACCCATCTTGGGAATGCTCTAGCTTATTTCTCGCTTAACTTCTGAGTTCCTACGGAATCCGAAGCCAGTGAGCTCCCAAAAGGCCTCGTACTAGGTAGGGATGGGAATATACATATAAGGATCACAAGATCCACTTCCCTGGGCGATGTGGGATGTTACAATCCACCCCCCTTAGGGGCCTGACATCCTCGTCGACACATATCCGGCCAGGGATTGGCTCTGATACCAAATTGTCACATCCCGGCCCGAGGTCCACCATATCCCAGGCCCGCTCCACCACCGTAGCACGATATTGTCCGTTTTAGGCCCCGACCACGCCCTCGCGGTTTTGTTTCTGGGAACTCACACGAGCTGAACTTCCTAATGAGTCACCCATCTTGGGAATGCTATAGCCCTTTTTCTCGCTTAACTTCAGAGTTCCTACGGAACCCGAAGTTAGTGAGCTCCCAAAAGGCCTCGTGCTAAGTAGGGATGAGAATATACATATAAGGATCACAGGATCCACTCCCCTGGGCGATGTGGGATGTTACACAAAAGGCTTCATGCTAGGTAGAGATGAGAATATACATATAAGGCTTACAAGATCCACTCCCCTAGGCGATGTGGGATGTTACAGTCAATTTCAAGGATCATTTGTGATTAAAAAAAAAAAGACTTATGGGGCCCACTTATGTGCCACATCAGCTCATAACACAGTTTTTTAATAGAATTGTGACGGAAGAACCACATTAATTTGCGACACCTATTTTTCAGGACTATATTCGTCGATTTTCAATTTTAGAGACCATCTTAACAGTGTGGGTCAATTTCAGAGACGATTTATTACAAAACCCTTTCAAAGTATGAAGATTGCCTCCCAAGCCTACCGTATGATTCCACCTCTATTTGTAGCTTTTGTTATGATTTAGTCATGTACTTGTAGCTGTAGGTAGGTTTTCAAAAGCGTTTAGGTATGTAAGTATGGTGGTTTGGCACAATGAGGGACTAATTGGTGAAGCCTAGAATTTCTTAGGTCAAAAAATAAAAATAGTTTTTCATTTTCTTTTACAAACAATATTTTACATTATAGGCTAGGGGAATCACGCAAAACTATAAGCCTGTCAATATATTACGGCATTGAACTTGTCATCTACGAAAATTGAATTGAAGACTACTTACAAGTAAAGAGGACTACATCTAACCGTAATACTAGTTGCAAAAGAAATGAAGTTTAGCAGGGATACAGTCCCTATATTTGTAGGTACTGATGTGTCTTGTCCATAGTTTATCTTAAATTTCTTATGTTATATAATGCAAATTACATAATAAATCTAAACATGAAACAAATAATACACTACTACATAATTTGGTATCTTAAAAGTTTGATGTAATAATAGTACTACGTAGACACCAATATGTGAAGAAAGCAAATATTAAATGAACTAGAATTCATGCCCAATTTTATTTTTTTCCTTTCCCAAACTTGTTAACATAGTTTGATGCATGCTTGGTGTACAGCAAGTCCAATGAGAGAATGATAAGCCATTTTTCCACCTGTTACGGAGGAGTCACACTCTCAAAGCCATTGCAGCTTCTAATTTGGACTTGTACAACTCTGTCAGCTGCTTCTGTGCCATTGATGATCTCGCAACATTGTCTACGTGGTGCCTGCCCATTCAATCATTCCCCAAAATATGTTAAGCTAGCACTAATCAACTTAATTGTATCCACACAAACAATTTCAGCACATATTATGGCACAAATGGTGCTCAGAATTTAGACAGAAAATCCTGCAGAAGATTGAGGTGCATGATATTTTCCCTATACGGTTAATGCATGTCAATTTTGTCACGTTTTTGTCACCAATAAAATTGTGACAAAATTAACCAACAAATAATCCATGTTCTTATAACTTTATCACCCACTTTGGAAAGAAGATAATTGCAGAATGTGAGTAGTCAATTTATTAAAATAATATAGTTGATTGACTAACTCCTCACATCCCGCATCATTTGCCACGTAACTATAAAATGTGCCACCTATATTTCAGTGCCTTTTCCAAGAGAATTTTCCCAATGAAGGAGAAATTTTTCCTCACCTTATTCCACAAGTCTGGGTTGAATTTGGGAGCCGAGACATTGAAAACCTCAACTTTCAAAGCATGAGTGTAGTCACTTCGAATGCAATCATTTTCCCCGTACCTCTTGTAAGTAGTCAGGGTCTCACCCCCACCACCATTTTCAACCCGATCTAACATATACACAACCGATCTCTCACACGGGTCCGAACTGACGGGTTGGGTATTAAACGTGAACAGGCGCGTGTCCCAATTCTTCCACGTCCAAAACGTCTGCAACGCCGTTTCCAGCTTCTTAGCCGTCACCAAAAACGGATACAACTGCACCGTGTAGCCCCAAGACACCGAAACAGACCAATTACGCCTCAAGTCGTAACAAAAACTATGTTGTACGGTCCGTCCCGGATCCACTTTGTACCCGCTAACCAAATTCTTGACCGAGTCAATCGGGTTCAGGTTTGGAAATATCGACTCCACATAGTCCAAATGGTGGAGTGACACCAACGGGGTCACAGGGTGTGCCGCTAGCAAACCATACGGGTTGCCCCGTATATCAAGTTGGTGAAAGCCGAGCTCTTTTGTTAGCGGCACTCCAATCTCGCTCAAGCAACCCTGGATCTTTTGATCCGAGCCGTAGAGTTTATCATACCGATCAATGCAGCCGTCCAAAATTTTAACAAGCTCCGCAGCCAACGGGTAACTAATGGCAATCCCGCCACCGCCGTAAGCCATAGTGTATGAGTGGATCTCATCTTGCTCCACACTCTCAGAGTTCCCGCCAATATAGTACATCTGATTGTGATCGTATTTCGCTAACACTGAAAGTAAGTTATCGGGGAAATAGACCGTATCATCGTCCCCCATAACAAACCACCTCACATTTTCTAAACCTAGCTCGAAGCTCTCTTTCACGATTCTCGCCAACCGAACCGCCGACCGTGAACCATACGGGCACGAGTACTTGAACCGTGACGTGTTCCCGGAGACTTTGTACTGTGGAAGGGTCTCCACCCACGTCATGAATGGGGATGGTATCTGGTCCAGCCAAACGAACCCGCGAGTGACGTTAGGCTTCCACCACAACTCGGTGTAGTGTCGGCGTTTGTCCCACGTCTCCACGGAGCCTCCGATGCCAAACAGAACGTGTGAAATATTTGTCTTTTCGTGACCGTCGGCGGAGATGCCGTTTTGATTGAGGTTGGTGACTACGTTGGGGTGTGGAGGGAAATTATGGGAGCGGTTTGAGACGGCGAAGTAGAGGATGAGAGAGATCGAAGCCACGGAGCAAAGAGTTAAGGTTGTTTTCATGGCAAGGGATAAGACATCAATGGCTCTGATTAGGAATTTCCAAAAATTTAAGGCGTGGTCGTGAAGGGTTTTTGATCTTGCACAAGACATTATTAATGAGAAAATAATTTTCCAGGAAAATGGAAATTATAAGGAACTCAATCCATCGCAAGGGATTTGTTGAAGATTTGAAATTTATGTGAAGGTTTGGGAAGGGAGGGAACACGCAGATGCAGCGGGGGTGCAAAACGTCCCCTTTCTTAGTTGACGTATTGGCCGGTACGTGCTTTTAATTTAGTCACTCTTGACTCTTTTGGTCTTCCCTTTCTTTATTGTTAATGGTCAATGATTGCTTAGAAAGTCAATAATGGCCACTCTTGACTCTTTTGGTCTTCCCCTTCTTTTTTGTTAGTTTGGTAAGCTATTAATTAACCTAGGAAAATTAAATCTCGAAGAGGACTTGGATTTTAGCGTTCTACTAGTAATATGCCCACGCGATGCTGCGAGACTTGAATACACCAGCCTTAACCACATGAATAAAACACATTTAACCTGAAAAACATTCAACATAATCATGAACGAACAAAAATGATAGATCTAGGAAATTATAAAAAGCATTGTAACCATATATCCAGGAAATTATAAAAATCAATCCAGTCAAGAGACAATATAATAATTGTGGGAAGATGAGTATGCAATCAAGAATGTAAGATATACTTGACTTGCAATTCCATTATAATTGCACAGACAAAAAAAATATCAAATTTTGATTGAAACATCAAACAAAACAATCTCATCTGTTATAGATTGGACCAACTAAATAAAGAATCTATCGATATGATTTTCAACCTAACTATTAAAAAAAAAAATGAGAGATGAGTACAAACTTGAACTCTAGAGCTTCGTTGACCAGAATCACTTCCCATTCCTAAAATTAGGCAAATTCCCAACAATAACAACAAAAAACCTGTTAGTATTCACTTTCACTTAATCATAGGCATCTCACCTTGAGACAACAGAGTCCACTGTTGCTGCCTCGGCAGCATCTTGAACGGGAAGAATACCAATAAATCCCTTCTCTTCCCGCTGCCATAACTCATGCACCACCAATTTGACACTACCTTAATCAAATTCCCCAATTTTATCAATTCAATAATCCACCAGTTAGAAAAATCCAACTTACAAACCACATAACGATCAATTACCTAGGAAAAGGAAAAAGGAAAGTTGGCATTTGAAATTAACTTTGGCAAAATTGAAGAACAAAATATGCAAAATTTTTGCAGCAAAAAATAAACGACACAGTTTGGGCAACAAAGAGCATAAAAAGGAACATAATTTCCGAGCAAGCAGAGTAATTGCAGAGCTATAAAGTTAGTGCTGAGCTAAAACAGCTAAGTACATACAAAGTTTTCTCAGGATTCAAACAGAAAAAACAATTAATCAAAAGACAAATTTTAAGGCTCAAAGGTACCTATCGGGTGAAGTGCAGTGAATTTGAAGATGGCGCAGGGTAGAAGGGCCTTGTTTCAGAAAGGAAAGATGTCTAGGCGAGTGGGAAGCTCCACCGATTCCACCATATTTGGAAGTTGCACAAAGAGAAGAAGAAAAAGAAAAAGAGTCAAGAGGAGGAGGTAGAGAACAGAGGCATTACCATATAAGTGCCTAACCCATAAACCTATGATGCACGGATACTTCTGTTTGGTCCTGTATCACGTATATGATACTTGATCGGATACGCTACTCTCGGATACTCGTCCGACACGTATCCTGGTTGACGGACACAAATTTAACATGATGAATACGCGTATCCTACATTTTGGATACACGTATCCGGCTTTTAGGATACATTTACACTTTCAAAAAAGGTAATGAGCAGGAGAAAATTAATAGGATACATCTATAATTGAAAATTGTTGAATACAAAGAGCTTCCCTCTAATTAAAACCATGAATACAATTCTCACACTTCTACTGTATAAAGAGGATTAGATTTCAAACTTTTCTTGTCTAACAACTCAAATGTACTTGAATTTGAATGATGAATTATGTTTTAAAATGTATATTTTTGTTGCTATATACATTTTATTTGCCGTCTCCGTAACATCTCATATCTTAATTTTTACAAATTTTCTGTATCACCGTGTTGTGTCGTATCATATCGTCCTACCAGCCATAAACAAAAAAGTTAACACAGAATTATGGATGTCGTACACCATTTTAAATGAAACTGAATTCATGGCTACAACTTATTTTCTAGAATCTCCAAAAGGAAAGTTAACCACCAAACGTTTGAATAACCCGAAGAACTTCCTCGTGCACCACAAAGTTCCCAAAACCAGTCCCTTGAAAACGATTCAAAGTGAAATAAAGTGAATTCAACATAGAAACTTCTATAAAGAAGTACCTTCCAAGAACAGAAGTGACAGTGTTGAAACCACAATTTCCCTCTCTCCTTCTATCTGCCTCACCTATCAAACCAAACCAATAATCAATTTTGGAGTTATCAAATTTAATCAGCACAGAAAATTATAATCAAACCCAAACAAAAGTCTAAACCCAAACTGTGATTTCAATAAAATCAAACAACAAAAAACCAAATTCAAGTCAAATATAATAAAAAAACCAAACAAAACTCTATATCAAAACTCCGGAATTTTGAAACTGCACACCTTAAATACAGAGGGCTTCGTAGAATGCAAAGAAAAGTCCCAAATCTGAAAAACCACGACCTCCTAAAGCTGAATCTGAACCCACAAACAAAAATCCCCAAAATCACAACCAAAAAATTTAAACAAAAAACCCATTAAACAAACACACATAGAATCACAGGCTACAAACAAAACCCCCAACAGAATCCCAAATGGAAGGAAAGGGTAAATGCAAGAAGAAGATATGTGACAGAGAGGGAGAGATACAATCCCTCAACCCCAACCTTTCTTTGCCGCCAACACACTCGTTCCCTCAACCCTATCCTCAAACCGTGCACCCAATCAACTCTCTTTCTGTCCCCCTAATCATGCACCCGCCCTCACCCTCTCTGTGCAACCAACCCCCTCCCCTATCTCCCCAAAACACGCCCCCACAACATCCCATCAGTCAAGAATCAAATCCAAAAGTAAATTGCAGTTACCTATTATGGTAGGATTAAAATAAGAATCTCCAAATAGAAAGACAAAGGATATAATACAACAGATAGCTCACCAAAAAGGGGCAGCCCTTTCACAGTGGTGATACATTTCCGCTTATTACGCATGGCTTTTTCAATTGTAGTTTCTTGCTTCTCCTGCAGAAAAAACACAACAGAAGAGATTTCAATAACCACTCATACCTATTCCATCTCTGGAACTAAAACTGTCAGTTTTTTATTTATATATAAATATTGATTATGATCACATTTTGATCATCGACATACAATACAAATCATTGTATATTTGCACAATCAAATATTTATGGAACTCACAACCGAGAGCCAGAGCTTCAATTCCTGTGAAACCACCCTTCTCTCAACCCTTGGCGACAAATTCTTACATCATCTATACCATAAACTTGATCAATTAATCAAAGATTTATAAACCTTTTGAATTCTAACCTTATCTACAACAAATTGATCCAAATCAAAGTTGAAGAATCCTAATAAGAACAAAAGCGCTAAACTATAGAACTTGGGTATTTCTTAAAACCCCTAACCCATGATATTTTAAATCCTTAAATTTTTTGAGCACCGAAACACTATCAAACTAACAAGATCAAAGAAATTGCTAATTACAAATGGGGAAAACTACAGCCCACGGGTAGTTCCTAAAATCCCATCATGTTTTCAATTCCAAAATTTCTCGTCATTTAGGAAAACCACTAAGCCTGTCTACCCTGTACTGTGCACCTAATAATAGAGAAAGGAAATATAAAAAAATACATAGCTATTCAGCCATAACTGCATCCTATCTAAAACGCACTAACATGCCAGAGATAATGTCTGGAACTCAGCATTGTACAACATTTAAAGATGACAACCAAAGTAAATTTGTGAAAAGCGAAACCAGCCCATTGTTTTGAATGTTGTTATTTTGGGAAATCTTGGAAATCACAATGAATAGCATCTGATAACCTTAAATATGGCCGAGAATTTCAACTCACCATCCTCCCTTAACATAGAGCAACTCGCTTCCTTAGCAAAGTAACAAACCGGAATAACACGCTCCTGTTGAAGAATGTATCCATTGCCACACAGCTGAACATCAAAAATAAAATTAAACACAAAATTCAACATTCACAATGCAAAAATCCAAACTAAACAAAAAATCAATGCTTTCAAAGTCGTATGGCATGCTGGCTTATCACAATTGTTTAGTATAAATTTACACACATTATATATGGATAAATTTAAATAAAAAATAAAAGATAACCAAATCATACACTGGCAGTCACCGTATTCCCCCAGCAGGCAAACCATTGATGGGCTCCCCTTGAAAGCTTAGTTAGTGAACGCACCCACCTGCACACGCACTGCAGAACTTAATTCATACACATAGGGGAGGGAGGGAGGGAGAGAGAGAGAGTACCACAAAGTCCCGATTTTCAATCCCACTGCAGAGAGAAATCGATCAGATCCTCATATCCCTCAATAAAATGTATAAGAACAATTTAAAATTTTGTTAAAACTCATAAATTTTTTCCGTCACTGTAAATTTTAACCATTCATTTGAATTCACAGACCCGAAAATTTCACCAATTCACTGAATTTACATACAAATGGAAGAAGTACAAAAACAAAGACAATGGCAGAAATTATACCATAAAAATTACACTACGAAAAATTTAGAGACCAAAATCCTTGTTAACAGAATTTATTACTTACGGTTCAAAAAACTATCAAATTTAAACTCTGATATCATAGATAAAATCTTAATTAAACTCACAATCTCAAGAAGTCGAAACCATGCTAAGTAAAAGAAACAAATTGAAAAAAACAATGAAGACGTAATTATTGATAAGAAAAACAAAAGTGGCAATACTGATATTATACACAGCTAGGACAATGAAATATCGGAACCAGCAGCAACAAATAGAATTAAGAAAAAAAGGGTTCACGTGGGCTGCCGATTTAAAGTTTGCGTTAGTTTGGTTGGGTTCCGGCCGGCTAAAGCTAGAGACTTGAGAGGGGAGGTGGGTGTGTTGAGAAATAGGATAAATTGGATTGGGAATATTAGGGTTTTGACGGAGAAGAAGAAGAGGAAGGGGAGAGAAACCCTACACCCACCTCTGTCACTCTGCAAACTGCCCTCAATCCACTCTTATTGAGACCGACGGAACACCCTTTCTGAACTTCCGAGAAAATACAAACAATACCTCCAAAAACACTTAATTTGCATGGTTCACAACATAAAGGGTATAGATGCACCAATTTCACTCTTAAATTCAAGAGGAAAAAATTAGGATTAGAGTTTGATGGTTCTCACCCAAAATTGGTTGCTATCGAGCACACTCACACCAACGTCAATCAGACCATAGGCTGAAAATATCAACAACAAAAAAACTGAGCATTGTTATCCACCGTAACAAAATCAACTGTGGAGTATTAGACAGTGCAATTACAAAATCGGTATCCGTTCTCAACTACCTTCGTTGTCCTCAGGTCTAAAGACATGGTCAAACTTGAACTACTTTTTCGAGGAATCATAACAAATGACCTGCAGCTCGTTATCTAGGGAGGATTCGAATTCAACAACGAAACCAGATCCGCTTGAAATTTCAGTTTGATTTAAAGGTCTACATCTGCAGAAAACTCGGATGTTGCCCTTAAGCTCAATCACTTCATTGTAAAGTCAAAAAAGGAGAAGAAAAGCGTGAGAGAGAGAGAAAGCAGACCAGCGGACTGAGGCGGGAGGGAGAGAGAGAGAGGGGCTAAACCACATTTAAATACCTGATTCTCTTTACTTAGGAATATGGCATTTTCCATGATCTTCAAACATTTCAAAAGCAGAACCAGGCTCCGCACCATGCCAATTTCATTTTCCCAAATAGAATGTGAGCTATCTTTTAGCCAACCCTGCATATTAATTTATGGTGCTTAGTAAGCCAATTTCCCCAATAACAATTGAGTACCATATGGACCCCAGGATTCAAATGAAAAAGGTAAGTATATAAATGAAAAGGTTATATTATGTCTAAGAAATTTTGGTTATCATCACTCAATGTGTATGATGTGCACATAATAAGAAAACAAATCAATGATTGAAAAGTGATATTGTTAGCATGCAAAACCACTCATGTTACTCCAAGAAGAAAATCAGGAACTACAACGAACAATAAGGAAGATGACGCTATCCAAAGGCAAATAGATAACTGCCCATTTGTTACTATAAAACAAACAAAGTGTAGTCAGTGTTGCTCATAAACTGAAGAAATATATAGGTTACAGAACAGAAGAACCTTGTGAATCTAGATACAACTAAGGCTGCACACCATCATTTTGGTTCTTTACCATCACATGCATTATTTTTTCACAGAAATTTATTATTTACAGAGTGAACCAATAAATTATTGTTGAAGTAGCATAGTGAAGTAAATATTTCATAACTATTTAAAGCATTACGGTCCCTTGGTATTCTTTTAACATTTAATGAAACACACAGTGAGATCAAACAAACATACAGGTTCACACCTCCATATTGGAATGGCAATCCATGGTCACCTCAAATACAGTATCAAGACCTCCAAGCTCTCGTAATTTTTCCTTAAAGTTGCCCCCCGACTTCCTTGACTGCACCAGTGGTTTCTGAAAGTACAGGCCAAAAGCTTGACATCCTGACTAAATAATGCATAAAAATATGTATCATGACCAGAAAATCATAAGCTTCAACACAGACTCAGACCTTCAAGAGAGATAGTAGATAAGCAAGCTTTCTCCGTAGTCAGCAAAGCTATCCATTCTGGGCATAACTCCGGATTCTCCATTTCTCCTTTATCCGCACAACTCAGTTCAGTAGCAACAATTCCTAATTTTATTACAACAAGAATTGCAGAAATTACCCACCTTTGTCGCTCACATCACTGTCCACCTTGCTTGCAATCGTCTCTAGGGTTTTAACTGAAGAAAAAGAGGGATGCAATCAAATCAGAAAATCTCCAAATTCTACATTTTCTTGGACTGGAAAATAAAATTAAAACTATAAGAAGCAGTAATCTTCGAATCCGAACCTCAAATTCAAACTTTTCTTGTAATTCAAAAATTAAAAAAAAAAGGGAAATGAAATTGTTTACCTTGAGCATAGAGGGCTTCCTACAACCAATTGTCAAGACTTGTGTTTGATCTACATAAATGTCAAGAATAAAGTTTAAAACTTTATCACAGAAATACATAAGCAACCAAGAATTGCAAAAAAAAAAAAAAAAAAAATCCATCAACAGAGGAGCAAAACAATAAGTAAAACAACCTTCTAACTTCCTTATCACACAAATACAGAAGCAACAAAGCATGGAGAAACAATCTAGCAACAGAGGGATATTCAAAGGATGTAAAGCAGAAAAGGAACCTCAATTCGATTTGTTGAGAAGAAAACAGCAGCTAAGCGTGAAGAAACACATAAATGAGCACAATGCAACCCCCTAAGTAATAAGGGCACAAACCTGACTCTAACAGTGTACGAAACAGTGCACTAAACAGACCAATCTTCCAAACGCCCAACTAAACAGCCTATAAACATCCATTACAATTTTATTGAAACAAAAAAAATGTCAATCACGGTTTTAACAAAGCAAATGGGAAACCAAACAATAAACAATGATTTCTAAACAGTGTTTTACCTGTTGAATCAGAGGACAAAAATGAAAACCCACTCTCTCCCATACCTCCCTCAGACATCCTCTCCTCACCAACCCCGTGGGGTAACCCGTTAACCCCAAAAAATGCACGGCATGCTCTCTCTCTCTCTCTCCCTGTCCATCCGTCTCTCAAAAAGTGGGAAAAAAAATCTCTAAATATCTCTCCCACTCAGTTGAAACCATGCTTCTCTCTCTCTCTCTCTCCATCCTTGTCTAAAAAATTCAACAAAATCCCTAAATGTCTCTCCCACCCAGTCGAAACCCTAGCTCCCATCTCTCTCCAACCTGTCAGTCCCTCTATCCCCCTCCTCTCCTCCCCCAACGACCCTCTGACGGATGCATCACCTACAGCCACACCTACCAGCCCCCGAGCCAAAATTCCCCGTGATCCTCTCCCTCCAACACGTCAACCCTCCCGTCCATTTTCCGTCTCTCTCCCCGAACGGTTAGGGTTTGGTCCAAAGTAACAAAAATCGAAAATAAAAACTCAAATACAACTATTATAAAATCTACCTGAGTTCGATAAAATTTGTTTCACCACGATTTGAAGACAGGCCGTTCTCACACATCGTGGGCAGGAGGAAAATTCGATATGGGGTTCGTGTGGAGGTGCATCGGTGATTGTTCGACGGATTTAACTGAGATGATGAAGAGGAATGGGGTGAGCAGCGCTAGGGCTACGTTGAGAGAAATGGAGAGAGAAGTCTCTCGAATTTGAGAAAAATGAGAGAGAAACGGTGCTAGGGTTGCAGGAAATGAGCTTACAGAGTGAGAAAAGGGAAGGATGGGGGATTTGATGAATGGTTATCGAGAGAGAGAGAGAGTCGGGAGAAAGAAAGAGGGAAAGAAAAGGCGGTGGTAATTTTGTAAATAAAGCGAAATTCGGCTCAAACTTACGGACACAATTACCCCATAACTTTTAAGAATTACCTTCCCAACCTAGCCCACAGCTGATGGTTTTGTTGTAAATAGCGTGAAATCGGGGGGCAACCAATTGACTATACCCATGAACAGTTCCAATTCCCCTCCAACTTTAGAATAGATAATATCTAAGGCCATCTCGCTTTGGATTTTAGCCCATCTAACTCTTGGTGAGAGAGCCAAATGTTCAAAAGACAGAAAATGATTTGATTTGTTTAGAAAATTCATCTTTAATAGATTGCTAGGCTATAATTATATAGAACCCACCAGATTATTGGCAAGAAAGTCAAAGGTTCAAAAGTCAAAAAATGATTTGGTTTGTACAGAAATTCATCTTCAATAAATGCTAGGCTATAATTATTAACTATGTTGAGGAAAGCTTAATGAAGTAAGAAAGATTGATGAACACAAAGGAAGAATCAATGAAGATTGCAAAGAGAAAATTAAGGAGAAAGAAAACTAGAGAGAAGTTAGAGAGAGGGAGAGCAACAAAACCGAACCAATTTTCATTAAAGCACACAGTGCTAAGCCAACGATACATATACAATAATTCTAACTAACTTGCCTATGTGGCATATCCAGTACAACCAACTCTATTGTAACAACCTTATCTCTTTATATAAACCTATAAACTGTTGACACCTGTTATTACTCCCCCTCAATCTCAGCTGGGATTTCCTAGCCTGAGATTGTGACAGTGCTTGATGAACAGAGGACTATGCAATTTCTTGGTGAGTATATCAGCAACCCATGACTCTATTGGTACATAATGCAATGTTATATCTCTTTTTTGGACCCTTTCCCTAACAAAGTGATTGTCACGGCCCGATCCTGACATACGTCCAGGATCGACACGTGACGTCACCCAATTACTCGTATCTCCCACATACCCCGCCTCAGGAATATGGCAAATCAAAATCGAGAATCGAATCGCATAGCAATTTTTTTGTATACTTTATGGTTGCATCTAACCTCCTCGTTAAATTGCCTACGTACCCTCAATAGGGATCAAGTCATTCGTAGTTCACAATTCACTATACTCGAACATTCATCACATAAGTCGTTATGTCCCAACAAAATATCACAATGTATTTCATGCAATCCTTCAAAGAACAATCGACGAAGCACAATCATATTCTCTCGCCATATTTATCAACAAGTCTAGTCATAACCATAACAATGATATCCAACATAATAATCCCACAAGACGAATAACATTTCCACCTCATCCATCACATAAATCATCACGTTCCCACATAAATCACAATTCATAGCGTGTAACATATTAAAGAATTACAAAGCACAATATTATTCTCTAGAAATATTAATCAACTAAAATAATCATAATAACAACACTCATATCCAACGTCATTCCACAATCCCGTCAATTAATCAATTCGTGAATCAAGATGTACAATCTTAGCATTTAATTACGTTAATCAGGCAATACGAAACAAAACATTTCACGAATTTAACTAAGGAACTCTATATAATTCCCCACTTGGATTATGAGTAATAAACATGGTAATTCTAATTTATATTCATAATATCTATTGTGGGTAATTCTCATCCACTCGAATTTAGACTCTAAGATCCCCTTAAGGAAATGAACAAGAGCAAGGATTCCGGACCGCTCAACGAAATCCAACAACATCGAGTTCCGGACCAATCAAAAGAACCAAAATATCAAGCGGTTTCTCGTAATCTACCCAGAACTGTCATATGTAAAGTCAATGCCTACATTATGGGATTGGTGCACTAGCAAATCAGGCACTCAGATAAGCTGCGAGCCTCGGGTGAGTGACAATAATATAAGCATGTGATACAATAATAAAACCAGCCATCAATCACAATTTATAAACCTTGAATATAAATCATTCATAAGAAATCAATACCAAACTTTTGAAAACTCCGAGGGAGTCACCCAAACATCCTATGGTTCGTCCGAAACAATCACAACATCTCATAACCATATTTTCATACACACAATGAAAAGTAGGGTCAGAGCGACACAGTTCGCCCAAAATCTACATCTTTGAAGCCATTTCAATCCAAACTCAATGAAATCCAAGGGGGTTGCGATCCCAGACCATCATTCAATGGAATCGCGGAGTAAGAGGGATTTCGGACCATCACTCAACGGAATCTAAACCAAGATACGATTTCGGACCATCACTCAACGAAATCCAAACAGAATACGATTCCGGATCATCACTTAACGGAATCCAAACCAAGATACGATTCCGGACCTTCACTCAACAGAATCTAAACCAGAATACGATTCCGGACCATCACTCAACGGAATCGTGGAGTGGAGTATGAATGATTCCGGACCATCACTCAACGGAATCGTGGAGTGGAGTATGAATGATTCCGGACCATCACTCAATGGAATCCAAACCAGGACATGATTCCAGACCATCACTCAACAGAATCATGGAGCACAATGCATAACAACCAATCAATGAAACAACATGTGAATCAAGTTACTCAAGTCATAAAGACTCAACGAAACAAGAATGAAATAATGACACAAGCGTTGACACATGTTTCGAAGCAACAAACCTCATGACAATGGTTAACGGTCCACTACTAGCCCTCACCTTTCATTAAATCAAGCCAATCAAACAAAACAAACCATATTTCCAATATGCACGTCAAATCCCACTTCATATAACTACATCAATGGCTAAATATAAAAATTAACAATTTATAGGAAACATAATTATAAAACCATTTCGTATTAACTTATATTAAAGTCACTCACATTTCATCACATCATACCATCTATGCAAATCAACCACCCTTCAAATATGCGCGTAAAATCACATATCATGATCATCATCAGTACACAAGCCGAATCATGTTTAATGAACATAGGTCTATGGCTAAATATATACATATATACATATATATATAATCACATTTCAATAGAAATCACATTATAAAACCAAGTCATATTCACATATGATACCAATATAATAAGAAATCAAGGTAATAACCATATCACATATGTTAAAGTTTGGTGACGATCCAACGGTCGGATTGTCGATTCACACTTTAACCAATTAACGTATCATAGAGAATTTAGGTTCCAACCATCAACCTAAGTCATACAATTACCAAAACTGAGTTCAAGGCATCTACTTTAGCCTAAGAGTGACATCGACGACCCCCTGGCCAAGCGCCACCGCCCGTGCCGCCGCGGGTGACGATTGGCCGCCCCAACTCGCCAGAAAAATCCAACTATTTCCAAAATTTACCAAAATTTACAGGAATGAAGATCTCAATGAGTAGAGTAAACTTTATACCTATGGCCAAGGCCAATTTGGCCTGAAAACACTCCAAACTGGCCACAAACTGCCAGAACCCTAGAATTGGAGGTTTCTTGACTTGTCCTCAAATCGACTCTGACGCTCCAACCAATGAATGGGCATTGTTCCTGAGCTACAGGGAAGTACATTGGTGATGGCAATCGAAAGAAATCGTAGCAGGAATGGTGGATTTGCCACCATGGTGTCCCCAGAACCCACGGTTTCGTTCTTCGTGATACGGGGCCAAAACCCAGGCAATCTTTAGTGTAAAATGGAAAGGAAGGTCCGAGGTGATGAATGGTGGTGGTAAATGGTCGCAATTCGTAAAAAAAAGGGCCAAAATCACGTCAGAAAATGAAAAGGGACCCGGACCGAAGTCGGGTCAGGAATTGGGTCGAAAATGGGGGTCCTGGTTGGGTGCCCTTCTTTCTCTCATTTCCCATCCTTTCTTTTTCCCTCTATTGGTCCATTCTCTCATTTAACTAATTGGCCCTTAGCCCAAATATCTGATTGGCCTCTTACCCACAAAGTGGGAATTAATTAATTCCTAAAATCTATAGTATCACAACTTCAAACGTTCATAATTATACCGTTATAATCCGAACTTGCAAACAGCTTTTGCTTATGCTTTCATGGGATCGAGCTCTATTCAGAAATATAAATTGTGACCTTGAAAGATCTACGGATTTTAAATAATTAATTTCCAAACTTTAAACTTCGCAACTGGTTTAATTAAAATCTAAATTCAAATAAATTAATATAAATTCTCGAAAATAACATAAAATTTCAATAATAACAATGCATAGATTATAACAGTGAAATTCAAGAACGAAATTTCACAGTGATAGTCAGTGTCTAGATGTTTTATGCGAGAATGAAACACTAGATTAGAGGAGAGTGTCAAAGTAGACAAATTATCACAATGTAAAGCTGGAGGATAATACAATACTTGAAGCAAATCTTTTAGAAGTATTATGATTCAATAAACATCAATAGTGCAATGAGCTAAAGCCTTGTACTTAGCTTTAATTAAACTTCTTGAAACTGAAGCTTGCTTCTTTGATTGCCATGAGATAGGATTATTGCCAACATACACTACATATCCTGTAATAGATCTCCTTGCGTTGATATCTGCAGCCCAGTCAGCATCTGAGAATGCTAAGATATTGATGTCTTGTGATGGTATATAAGTGAGTCCATAATCGAGTGTGCCTTGCAAATACCTTGAAATTCTTTTTACCAAGAAGAAATGTGCCTTAGTTGGCTGAGTCATGTACTGACAAACATCATTCACAGCGTGTGCTATATCTGGCCTGGTGAATGTCAAGTATTGCAATGCACCTACTATACTTCTGTATAATGTTGGATCCTCCATGGGTGTTCCTTTTGAGACAAGTAACTATGTATGAGGCTTTGATGGTGTTGGGGTAGATTTACATGAACTCATGCCTGCCTTATTGATCAATTCCCTTGCATACTTTGATTGATTGATAAACAAACTGTTATCAGATTTGTATTGAATGTGCAGCCCCAGAAAATATGTCAATCTCCCCATGTTTTTCAAATCAAACAGTTCTGCAAGCTGATTAATGATTGATTGCACCTTTTGCTTTATTTGAACCAATTAGAATTATATCATCTACATAAAGTAGTAAGATGATAATATCCTCACCATCATGGTTGATGAACAAGCTTATATCAGATTGAGACATAATAAATCCAAAAGATGGCAAGACTCTAGTGAACTTTGCATTCCAGGCCCTTGGAGCTTGTTTAAGCCCATACAAGAACTTAGCCAACTTGCACACATGATCGGGATACTTTGAATCAAGAAACCCTTGTGGCTATTTCATATAAATCTATTCTTGAAGTTCTCCATGTAAAAAGGCATTCTTTATGTCAAGTTGCCTTAGATCCCACTTATGACAAGTTGTCAAAGCCAAAATCAATCTTACTGTGGTATATCGAACCACTGGACTAAATGTTTCTAAGTAATCAAGAATCCCTGAGCTACCAACCTTGCCTTGTATCTTGCAATACTTCCATCAAGATTTCTCTTTATTTTATAGACCCATTTACTACCAATTATTGATTTATTGGATGGTGTGGGAATAAGATTCTAAATCCCTTGAGTTTTTAATGCATCAAACTCTTCTTGCATTGCTTGTTGCCATTTAGGATTAGATGCAACAGTTTTAAATGTTTTTGCTTCATCACCATCATGAGTATCAACAATAAATGAATATCCAGTAAAAGCATTGTCACAAGTATCATCAATGTTCAATGATTGAAGCTTTAGAAATGAAGCAAGATATGCAGCATAATTCTTTCTTTCAATAGCTCCTGTCTTTAATCTTGTTTGCATAGAGTATGAATTATTTGATTCTGGTTCTTGCATGTAATTAGAAGTTGGAGATGCATTATGAGTAAATAGAAGGATTACCTGTAGCTGTGCAAGATCAAGGACATGCAACAAAGGTTGAAATTGATCTTTACTTTGAGAATGAACCTTAGAATTTGAAGTTTCAGATCCTTGTGAAGATTATATCATGATTGATGTGTTTTTAGCAACACTAATATTCTTAGAAGAACTGTAAACTTGATCTTGTGAAGCCTGTCTTAAGTTAGAATGAGAACTTGAAGTACTCTGAGATCCTTGTAATAAAATAGAAGTATGACCTATTGATTGTGTTTCATTTGGCAAGCGTTGGTGTGTACTAGAAGGAGCAATATTCACTACAATTGGAGGTTTATGAATAATAGGCACGTTTCTCACAACTTCTATGATTTTAGACCTCTCAATCTTAGATGGAAAGCTTCATTCGTCATGTAGAACATGTCTTGAAAGAATCAACCTCTTTGATTCCAAATTGTAATAGATAACACCCTTATAACTAGAAGCATAACCTAGAAATAAACTCATAGATGTTCTAGGTTGAAGTTTGGAATCATTATAATGCCTTAAGTATGGATATGCAGTTGATCCAAAAATCTTTAAATCTTGTAACTATGGTGGTTTATCAAACAAGGCACAATAAGGAAAAGTCATCTACAAAGTTCTACTTGGCATTCTATTAATCAAATAGCTGCATTATACCAAAACTCTTGAGGTAATTCAACAGCATTCATTAAGGTTATAACAGTTTCAATTATATATCTATGCTTCCTCTCAACTAAACTATTTTGTTGAGGTGTGTAAGGACAAGAAATCCTATTAGTCATTCATTTTGAAGCAATCAAAACCTTAAAAGCTTTACTGGTAAACTCACCACATCCATATATTGCATACATTTATCCTAATTCCAAATTGTACCTCAACAAAATTATAAAACTGAACAAAAGTTGGGAAAACTTCAGATTTATTAAATAGTGGAAAAATCCACACATGTCGAGTACAATCATCCACAAAAGTAACATAAAACCTATATCCTTCAATTGATCTAACAGATGCTGGCCCCCAAACATCAATATGAATTCTATCAAAAGAAAGAATACATCTCACAGATTCACCAGAGAAAGGTTTCTTAGCTATTTTTCCATGAATACAAGCAGTACACATCCTATGCACATCATCAATAGCATGAGATATTTGAGACTTAGCTAGCATAACAGACATTACTTCATTTGTTGGATGCCCCAATCTATAATGCCACACTGAAGATTTCACCAATTGTCCAATAAAATCTTAGAAATAATGGGTTTAAATTGTAATGTATTTCATTGAATGTCAATATACAAGAGACAAAATATGTATAAGAGAAGAGAGGAGAAAGTCTACTTACTCTAATCCTTAAAACAAGGAACACCAAACATTCCTTAAAACAAATAACACCAACCATTATCCTTGTTTTCCTTGTTTTAAGGAACTACCCCAAACGCTAGGTTAAGCAACTAATCATGCCAACGCCTTTAAATCAAGGGTAACAGCTCTTGTTGACACTCTCCCTTAAGTTGGTGCATAGATGTCATGAATGCCTAACTTGCTTAGTGAGCTATGAAATACTGTACTTGTGACTACTTTGGTGAGCATGTTTGCTAATTGATCTTCAGATTTTATGAATGGAACTTCAATGAGTCTTGCCTCAAGTTTTTCTTTAATAAAATTTCTATCCACCTCCATATGTTTGGTTCGATCATGTTGAACCGGGTTGTAAACAATGTTAATCACAGCCTTGTTGTCACAATGTAGACACTTAGCATGCTTGGGCCTAAATCCCAAATCTCTCAGTAAGTTCTTCACCCAAAGCAGTTCATATACTCCATGTCTCATACTCTGGTATTCTACTTCAGCACTTGATCTAGCAATGACCTTTTGTTTCTTACTACGCCAAAGGACTAGAGTTCCTCCAACAATAACGAAGTATCCTGATGTTAATCGTCTGTTAGTTACTTCACCAGACCAGTCAGCATCAGTGTAGCCTTTAACGTCTAGATGATTATGTTTTGAAAACATTAATCTTTTCCAAGGAGTTAACTTTAAATACCTCAAGGTACGGTTTACAGCATCCATTTGTGTTTTACTTGATGAATGCATAAACTGGCTCACCATGCTAACTACATATGCTATATCTGGTCTAGTATGTGCAAGATATATTAGCTTACCAACAAGTCGCTGATATTTCTCTTTGTAGGTAGGTATCTGATGAGGATATTCACCAAGTTTGTGATTCAGCTCAATTAGGGTATCTACTAGTTTCCATGATAATAGCCCGGTTTCTGTCAAAATATTAAGAACATATTTTTGTTGTGATAGAAATATTCCTTGTTGTGAGAGGGCCACCTCAATGCCTAAGAAATATTTTAAGGCACCTAGATATTTTATCTCAAATTCACTTGCTAGATACTTTTGCAGTGTTGCCTTCTCTTCTGGATCCTTTCCTATAACCACCATGTCATTCACATATACAATAAGAGCAGTGATTTTACCTTTTTTATGCTTTAAGAAAAGGGTATGATTAGAGGTGCTTTACTTAATTTCATCAATTTGGTAAATCTCCCAAACCAGGCTTTCAATGATTGCTTTAAACCATACAACGACTTTTTTAGTTTACAAACGTTGTTAGTCTGACTGGGATCCAACTTGCATCCTGGGGGAAGCTCCGTATAAACTTCTTCTTTTAAATCTTCATGCATGAAAGCATTTTTGACATCAAACTATTGCAAAGGCCAGTCAAGGTTTGCTACTAAGGATAAGAGTACACGAATAGTGCTCATTTTAGCTACAGGGGCAAAAGTCTCTCCGTAGTCAATGCCATATGTCTGCATGTAGCCTTTTGCCACTAATCTTGCTTTATATCACTCAATAGTACCATCTGCACAGAATTTTATTGTGTATATCCACGGGTAACCAACTGCTATCTTCCCCTTAGGTAGGTTAATTAACTCCCAAGTGGAATTTTTTTTTCCTGGAGTGCCTCCATCTCTTCATTCATTGAATGAGTCCACCTGGGATCATTCATAGCATCCTCAACACTACCAGGAATAGATACAGTGGATAATTGATTCACAAATGCCTCACATGATGAAGATAGCCTATGGAAGGACACATGGTTAGCAATTGGGTATTTAACCTTGGCTCTAGGATCAGGATCATATAACTGTTTAGGAATCCCTCGATATTTTCAAGGGGGAAGTTGATATTTAGTGGACTTAATTTGACTTGACTTAAGTATAATCTCATCAGAAATAGAATTAGATTGATCAGTTGCCTGTTGATTGTGCTCAAGGGCTGATTAACCGTGTGGTACTGTTGAATGAGGCAATTGCAAACATTCTAGACTTAACGTTGTTGGATGTACTTCTGTGTCTGTTGTTGGAGTCGACATATTATAATTTTGTAGCTATATAACGGTTAGAGTAACGTCATCTACAAATGTCAATAATCTAAGATTCTTCAATCTAGAAGATCCGTACATCGTATTTTCAATCCGTAAGTTTCTAAGGTCCTCAAATAATACGTACAAATCCATACTAAAATTTGGTGACGATGCAACAGTTGGTCCACCATTGACAACAAAGGGCAAGGGGCATAGGCTCAAACAATGAAATCACATCAAACAACTGTCAAAATTGGATTCAGAATATCAAATTTAGCCTTGAAGAATCAAGTGGTTCTTGGTCACATGCTGCCAAAAGGCCCCGCCATATACGGTGGTTCAGTGAACGAAAACTGAAATTTTCAACTAACTCTAAATTGTACCAAATTTTATAGGCATGTAGAGCTGAATAAGAGAAACACTTTTCATAACTAGGACAATGACCAATTCCAGCCGGAACCGGTCGAAACCGCTAGTGAGAACCAGATTTCTAGGGTTCGAAACACCCATCTCTCAAACAACTACCTATGCACGATTTAATCATACCAACTTCAAGATCATGAAGAGTAGATGAAGTTTCCTACCTCACTCGACGGAAATGGTTGCTGAAATCCACGGAAAAGAGAGAAAACCGTTGGGAAAACTACGGATTTTGTGGCTTTTATTTGTAAAATTAGGTAAGAAATTGAAAATATAATACCACAGGGACGTTGGTCTCGTTGAGAGCTTTCCATAGACACCAAGATCACCTCAAATGGACATCGAACGGAAGAGATACAACCTAGTCAAGAAACCAGGTTGAACGACCCAATCGTCCTTAAAACGGGTCAAGATGACCCAATTTGGGTTTGGATCCCTACTTGGTTGCACCTGCAGTTGCAGGTTTTTTAAAAAGGGGTTGGGACAAAATTACCAAAGTGCCCCTAAACTTAAGACTCCTCTAACTTCATCATTGTAACTCCGATTGGCGCTCGGTTTTTGCATTCGCGTTCGTGGAATGGAGTTCTATCCAAAGTACTAAGTACAACCTCAAAAGGTTTATGAATTTTAAATGGCTAGCGACAAAGATTCAAACTTTGTAACTAGTCCATTAAATATCTAAATTAACAGAAATTTTTTAAATTAGAATTCCATAGATACAAAATACGTAGATAGCAATAGTTAAATACAAGGACAAGATTTCACACGACAAGAGATCTGTAGAAGATGGTTCCAAATTGAGGTTATTTCCAGGGAAGCTTAAATCTCGCTGGTACGGGCCATACCGAGTTGCAAAAATATATCGTAATGGGGCAGTTGACATTACTCATGAGCAAAGTGGTAGCACATTCAAAGCTAATGGTCACAGGCTAAAACCATACTTGGAATCACCCTATGATATTGCATGCGAGTCAATGACTCTGAAGGATCCAGCAACTTAATCACCGGGCTTCTGTTCAGTCTAGCTACAGACGTTAAATAAAGCGCTTATTGGGAGGCAACCCAATTTTCCAATTTTTTTTCTTTACTTTCTGTCTCTTTTATTTCATTATTTTCAGTCTATATGCATTCATCATCTTCAAGTGATCAAAGAAAATTTGATAGGCATCATCCACGCCGCCAACTTTTAGTTATTGATGTTAAAATTACTTATTTTATGTAAATAAAAAATTACATAATAAATCTAAATATGAAACAAATAATACACTACTACATCATTTGGTATCTTAAAAATTGGTGTAATAATAGTACTACATAGACACCAATATGTGAAGAAAACGAATCTAAAATGAACTAGAATTCATGCCCAATTTTATTTTTTCCTTTCCCAAACTTGTTAGCATAGTCTGATGCATGCTTGCTTGTCTATATCTCTGGTTAGAATCTGGTCTCAAATTGGCGCACCAAGTCCAATGAGAGAATGATAAGCCATTTTTTCCACCTGTTACGGAGGAGTCACACTCTCAAAGCCATTGCAGCTTCTAATTTGGACTTGTACAACTCTGTCAGCTCCTTTTGTGCCATTGATGATCTCGCAACATTGTCTACGTGGCGCCTGCCCATTCAATCATTACCCAAAATATGTTAAGCTAGCACTAATCAACTTAATTGTATCCACACAAGCAATTTGAGCACATATTATGGCACAAATGGCGCTCAGAATTTAGACAGAAAATCCTGCAGAAGATTGAGGTGCATGACATTTTCCCTATACGGTCAATGCATTAGATTATGGGCCAATGCCTCTAAAGTTTAATGCACGTCAATTTTGTCACGATTTTGTCACCAGTAAAATTGTGACAAAATTAACCAACAAACAGTCCATGTTCTTATAAGTTTATGACCCGCTTTGGAAAGAAGAAATCAACTATAAAAATCAAAGTATGGGGGGTTTCTTTGATTAGAGATAATTGCAGAATGTGAGTAATCAGTTTATTAAAGGAATATAGTTGATTGACTAACGGAAAGGGATCCTCTCCGGATCTCTTCAACCAAATCCACCCAATCCGAACCTTTGAAATTTGATGCAACAGGTAAAGTTATTATAACTTTTAAAGAAGCTCCCTGTTTTTAACTGTTGAATCAAATTTCAAGAGCCCGAATTGAATGATTAGGTGAATATGGTAGAAGGAATCCTGATGATCCCTTTCCTTGACTAACTCTTCACATCCCGCATCATTTGCCACGTATTAAAAAACGACTATAAAATGTGCCACCTATATTTCAGTACCTTTTCTAAGAGAATTTTCCTAATGAAGGAGAAATTTTTCCTCACCTTATTCCACAAGTCTGGGTTGAATTTGGGAGCTGAGACACTGAAAGCCTCAACTTTCAAAGCATGAGTGTAGTCACTTCGGATGCAATCGTTTTCCCCTTTGTCAATATTGTACCTCTTGTAAGTAGTCAGGGTCTCACGCCCACCAACACTTTCAACCCGATCTAACATATACACAACCGATCTCTCACACGGGTCCGAACTGACGGGTTGGGTATTAAACGTGAATAGGCGCGCGTCCCAGTTCTTCCACGTCCAAAACGTCTGCAACGCGGTTTCCAGCTTCTTAGCCGTCACAAAAAAGGGATACAACTGCACCGTGTAGCCCCAAGACACCGAAACAGACCAATTACGCCTCAAGTCGTAACAAAAACTATGTTGTACGGTCCGGCCCGGATCCACTTTGTACCCGCTAACCAACTTCTTGACCGAGTCAATCGGGTTCAGGTTGGGAAATATCGACTCCACATAGTCCAAATGGTGGAGTGACACCAACGGGGTCACAGGGTGCGCCGCTAGCAAACCATACGGGTTGCCCCGTATATCAAGTTGGTGAAAGCCGAGCTCTTTTGTTAGTGGCACTCCAATCTCGCTCAAGCAACCCTGGATCTTTTGATCCGAGCCGTAGAGTTTATCATACCGATCAATGCAGCCGTCCAAAATTTTAACAAGCTCAGCAGCCAACGGGTAACTAATGGCAAACCCGCCACCGCCGTAAGCCATAGTGTATGAGTGGATCACATCTTGCTCCACACTCTCCGAGTTCCCGCCAATATAGTACATCTGATTGTGATCGTATTTCGCTAACACTGAAAGTAAGTTATCGGGGAAATACACCGTATCATCGTCCCCCATAACAAACCACCTCACATTTTCTAAACCTAGCTGGAAGCTCTCTTTCACGATTCTCGCCATCCGAACCGCCGACCGTGAACCATACGGACACGAGTACTTAAACCGTGACGTGTCCTCGGAGACTCTGTACTGTGGAAGGGTCTCCAGCCACGGCATGCTTGGGGATGGTTTCTCGTCCAGCCAAACGAACCCGCGGGTGACGTTAGGTTTCCACCACAACTCCGCGTAGCTTCGGCGTTTGTCCCACGACTCCACGGAGCCTCCGATGCCAAACAGAATGTGTGAAATATTTGTCTTTTCGTGACCGTCGACGGAGATGCCGTTTTGATTGAAGTCAGTGACTACATTGGGGTGTGGAGGGAAATTATGGGAGCGGTTTGAGAAGGCGAAGTAGAAGATGAGAGAGATGGAAGCCACGGAGCAAAGAGCTAGGGTTGTTTTCATGGCGAAAGGGAAGACATCAATGGCTCTGGTTAGGAATTTCCCGAAATTTAAAGGGTGGTCGTGAAGGGTTTTTGATCTTGCACAAGACATATTAATTAGAAAATAATTTTCCAGGAAAATGGAAATTGTAAGGAACTCAATCTATCCCAAGGGATTTGTTGAAGATTTGAAATTTATCTGAAGGTTTGGGAAGGGAGGGAACACGCAGATGCAGGCGAGCACAAAACGTCTCCTTTCTTAATTGACGTATTGGCCGGTACATGCTTTTAATGTAGTCACTCTTAACTCTTTTTTGTCTGAGAAATTTTTAATTGTGACGGGAATACAAGTAGTATATCACGTGTTTTAATAGAAGTGGTGAAAAACTTTACTTTTTAAGTTATTAACTTTTTAGCACACATGTCACACAATTTGTATAGTGACACGTGGTGTACCACTCCGTATACCGGTTACGCCGAAAAATCTCTTCTTTTTGTCTTCCTTTTGTTTATGGTTAATGGTTGACTCTTTTGTTAGTTTGGTAAACTATTAATTGATATAGGAAAATTAAATCTCGAAGGGGACTTGGATTTTAGCGCTCTATATAAGAGCAAGTCCACCCCTAAAAAAATACGTCAGCATCCAGCTTATTTAATCCACTCAGTAAATAGTGTTAGACCCCAATGAATAGTAATAGACCAAATGCATCTCCATCCCTAACAAAAAATAGCCTAGTCAATTTTATTAAAATATTATTATTTTTTATTATAAAATAATAAAAAAATAATTTTATTAAAAAAAAAAGGTAAGTGTGGAACCTCCACGGTTCCATTAAAACCCTGTATACTCTCCCTCTACATCCTCCTCAATTTGTTTCTCCGATCATCCCCAAACGCCAACTCTTGCCACTCCTGACACATCAACCTACCTCTGCATCTCTCTCTTCCTCTCTCTCCCTCTCCCTCTCTCTCTCTCTCTTTCCCCATTCGGATTTGGAACTGCGTCTATTGGGTAGAATTTTTGGGGTGGGTTGGTGATGGGTATTGGCAGTCTGGGAGGTGTTACAGTGGTATGTATTTGTTCAGGGGTAGGGATTGGTGCACTTGAGGTGGTTGAATCGCGGGAGGCAGTCGAAAATTCTAATGGGTTGCTCGTCGGCGCCTTCAAGCCCTAACTCACCTTAACGCCGCCGCTACTTTCATCCCCGCCACCACTTATCTCCACACCTCTTCATCGTCCACTTTGTCCTCCCATCCTTCTCCCTTTGTGGCTCCTTCCTTCCTGACACCCTCTCTCACCTCAACTAGCTCCGCTCCTCAGCCTCCACAACAACTCCCTCTCTGGCTCAAAAAAAAAAAAAAAAAAAAAAAAAGAAGGTGGCTTACGTCACGCTGGCTTCAGCATGATGTCAGATAGGCTAGTCCATGACTCTGTCAATTCTGGGCTGACCTGGAGACCAACTTGGGCTAGCTGCCAGCCTATCTGCTGGGCTGGAGTGGATTGGCTGGGTCTTGACCTAAAGAGTCCCTAATGGAACTGCTCTAAGGTCATCTCGCTTTGGATTTTAGCCCTATGTATCTCACTCTAACGGCCAAAGGTTTAAAAGTCAAAAAATGATTTAATTTGTCCAGAAAATCATCTTCCATAGCTTGCTAGGTTATAATTATATAGAGTCCATCAAACTATTATTTGGCCAAAGGGCCATCAGGTTGGTCAAGTGTAGCCACCTTTTAGTTCCTTTTTCGGGGTCCAGGTTCTCTATTGCAATAATTTGATTCAAATTCAACAACTATGTTTGAAAATATACCACAGTAGTTACTTAAATTAACCAATAAATTAAAGTATAAACTTAAAACTAGTGAATTCTTGAGGGGCTATGTTTAGCCAATTCAGTTAGAGATGGTATATGAACATATGGCCTAACAATGTTCATTTAAAAATAATTTCTTACGAGGCTTTGCTTCCTTTCAATTGCAGATGGCATAACTTATCTCAAGGGAAAGAGATCATCTCTAGATCTCTTCCACCAAATCCACCCAATCATCTAATCCGGACTCTTGAAATTTAATCCAACGGCTAAAGTTAATATAACTTTTAAAGGGGTCCCCTGTTTGTAGCCGTTGAATCAAATTTCAAGAGTCTGGATTGATTGATAGATTGGGTGGATTTGGTGGAAGGGATCCAGAGATCCCTTTCGAGTATAGCCTAGCTTGTAAAAAAGTCCAATTCTTTGTGATTCGGAGTATCTCTACACTACACCACAAATCGGTTTCTATAGCAGCCCAGAAATGCTACTATAGAAAGTTTCATACTTTTTATAGCATTTTTCTATTGCTTTAAAAAAAAAAAATCTATAATCATCGTTTATAGCATTTAAAAATTGCTATGAAAACTTTACCATAGCAATTCCAAAATGCTGTAATCAACTTTCCATAGCAATTTTCAAATGCTATGATAGCTTTTATAGCATTTTTATACAACCCACTGCATTTAACAGCATAAAGAAAACATTTATAGCAGTTTTTGAATCATTATACAATCACATATCACTTGGGCAACACTAATTTAACCAAGAGCACAATTATAAAATCCCTCAAAATAGACAATACATGTAATCAACTAATTTTCGCTCAACGAAAACTGAAGAAAAAAAAGGAAACAACCAGAAAAAAATTCCAAAACATGACCATTAGATTTGTCTTCCAGAGAGAATTATATATATATATATATTGAAAATGAAATTCTAATTTTAGTTCTCTACCAAAATTTTAGATTTAAAAAATTCATGGTAGCTGGTCCCTTATTCCGGCTTGGGGCTGGTGGCCCTATCTCCCTTCTCCTAGTCTTCCTCCTTCCTTTTCTCATGAATTGTTGCAAATTTATGTTTCGTTTTAGTTTTGTGGTCCATAATTGTCTCATTGGTGAGGTTATTTGTGATTCCATCAATTTTTATTTTTATTACATTTTTTTGTAGCTTCAGTACTGATTATTTTGCATAAAATTCATGGTGATATGGACACTAGTTGGTTCCTTCTCAATTTCTCGTCAATGTTGGCACGTCTCGTTGTGAAGGAGCCACCTCTTCTTTGTTATATTGCAATTTTTGTGCGGATAAATTCTCAAGTGACGAATTGAGAAGTGTTTGACCTTTGCATCATGAATGGTGTTCCTTTGACTTTGGAGTGCCACCTTATTCTTCCAAATTTCAATATGGATGATTTCAAGACTTGGATGCGTTCATTTGCCATGTTGGCTTTTATGTTTTGTTGGAAGTCTCTTGATTGGGGACATATTGGATCTAATCCAGAATGTCCCCTTTGATCTTTGTCATCAGTTCTCCGTATTATAATACAAATTGAAAATAATAATAACTTTTGCTAGCCTATCCATTGTACAACTCCTGGTTTTGCTCTTGCTGGAGAGTATGTGAACTGAACTGAGAAATTTGTAGCATATTTTCCCTTTCTGCTGGATCCCTCTCATATTTGTACAGTATCAATCAAACCCTGCTACTTGGGGAAAAAAAGTTGGCTAAATAGAACTTTTACGGGAATCTTTCTTCTATTACTTGTTTTGAAATATATACATGTGCTATCATAGCTTTACAAGGAAACAAAAAACATATACACAAACCTACTTAATAAAGGACTCCTATTATTTACATTCCCTATTTTTCCTAATATTGACTCACGCTAACACTCCCCCTCAAGTTGGTGCATAGATATCACACATGCCCAACTTGACAAGTGAGTCATCAAACCTTCAACTACATACTGCATGAGTTAGAACGTCTGCAAGTTGCTCCTCTGACTTCACAAAAGGTATTGACACAATCTTCCTTTCAAGCTTCTCTTTAATAAAATGTCGATCAACTTCCACATGTTTTGTCCTATCATGCTGTACCGGATTATCAGCTATATCTCTTGCTGACTTATTATCACAGTATAGTCTCATGGTTTCCTTTGGCTTGAACCCAAGCCCCTCAAGAAGCTTTCGAAGCCAGAGAATCTCACAAATGCCGTGAGCCATTCCTCGATAGTCGGCTTCAGCCGAGGATCTTGATACTACCTTCTGTTTTTTACTTCTCCATGTAACCAAATTTCCTCCTACAAAAGTAAAGTATCCCGAAGTAGACCGTCTGTCACCTACACTTCCTGCCCAATCAGCATCCGTGAACCCCTCAATCCTTAAATGTCCATGCTTCCGATAGAGAACTCCTTTTCCAGGTGCAGACTTTAAATAAGCTAAGATACGCATAACAGCAGCCATATGATCTTCACTCGGTGAATGCATAAATTGACTTACTACACTTACTGCATAGGCAATATCTGGACGTGTATGAGCCAAATAAATTAGTCTCCCTACAAGTCTCTGATATCTCCCCTTATCAACTGATTTTTGATTCGGATCCAAACATAGATGATGTTTTTCAACAATAGGAGTATCAACTGGCTTACATCCCAGCATACCAGTTTCTTTTAACAAATCCAAAACATACTTACGTTGTGACAAGAAAATACCTTTCGACGATCGAGCAACTTCAACTCCAAGAAAATACTTCAAATCCCCTAGGTTCTTCATTTCAAACTCAGCCGCAAGATTTCTCTGCAGCCTTGAAATCTCATCACAATCATCCCCAGTAATAATCATGTCATCTACATAGATGATTAGGGCCGTCACTTTTTCCTGTCTCCGTTTAACAAACAATGTATGATCAGAATGACTTTGGTAATACCCAATCTTTTTCATGACTTGAGTAAACCTATCAAACCACGCACGAGGCGATTGCTTAAGCCCATAAAGAGACTTACGCAACCGACATACTCCGGTACTTCTACCAGCACTGTACCCAGGAGGAAAATCCATATATACTTCTTCGTCCAAGTTCCCATGAAGAAAGGCATTTTTCACATCAAACTGTTTTAATGGCCAGTTCATATTAGCAGCTAAAGATATCAGAACTCGTACCGTATTCATCTTGGCAACCAGAGAGAACGTTTCTTGATAATCTACACCATATGTTTGGGTGTATCCTTTAGCTACCAACCTTGCTTTGTACCTGTCGATTGATCCATTGGCTTTGTATTTGACAGTGAACACCCAACGACAGCCAACTGTTTTTTTTCCCTCTAGTAAAGACGTCACCTCCCAGGTATTATTCTTCTGTAGCGCCAACATTTCTTCATCCATTGCGTTTGCCCATTTTTGATCCTTTAGAGCCTCCTCCACACGGGTTGGTACT